AGATCCAAAATTTTCGCAGTTGCCTGACTCGTTTGACGAAGGCACAAGTCGAGGTAAGCTTATTAAATCATTTTGTTAACCTCAGCTGTACCTTTATACCAGGTTGTGCCTCATTTTATCTCAATAATTCTACAAATCAAACAAAAATAGCAATTCATATAGATTGTAGATGCATTTATATGTCAATAATAGCCTAACCCTTAAAGTTAATTGGATGTTATTTAGATCGTGATCAGGTACAGCTTCTATAATGGCAGACAGTTAACTCTGCTTTAATTACTCAAGCTAAAGATCATTCACGTTCATCATACATGTGTATTTACATTTCAAGGTAATCCATTGACTTCCGAAACTGAAGGTTTTTATTTGAAAACATTATAAACATAAGATCATATGCAAAGACAACATCCAATAAATTAACTCTGAAGTTTTATTGAGATCTGATAACTACATTGACCGTCACCGAAATTATGCACCAATTAATTAAAATTTAGATAGCTCTGAAACACGATATGACTTTTATTTTCTGTGTTATTCACGTTGCCATTCTTGTATCATAATAATATTTTGTAACTGATACCATAATTTAATTTGGCGACAGCTGGTATTGTTTGTAAAATATTTTTCGTCTTTTCCAATAAACTTGTGTGTCTCTTCCCCTGCCTCGATTAGGCTCTTCTATATGCGGGTGGAAGCTAACATGAGATTATAATTTTTGTAATTAATGAATAAAGTTTTTTGTTTGTTTTGTTTTGTTTGTTTGACTACAACTGTACAAATTGAAGAGAGTTGTATTATTATTATTAGTATTTTTATTGTTGAAACCCACAAGCTCATTTTGTCAGAGCAAGGTTCGGTTAGTCCTAGGTTAGGATGAAGTAGGGGGTGTCTGTTGTAGGTCTAATAATAATAATAATAATAATAATGATAATAATGATACAGGAGTTTCAATAAAAGGCGGTTACCGGCGGTCTACTGCTGCCTGTAGGACCTTTTACTGCCGTCTGTTTGGATTTCATTAGTGAAAATAAAGAGTGATTTTAGTGATCACAACCACCTATTAAACCTTCAGTGGCCACTTATAAGTAATGTTATTGAAACCCCTGGTGCTAACACCTTTATTTAGACACAATAGTGTTTAGAGCTGAACAGCTGCCTGTGGGGTCATGTATAAATCCAAATAAACTGTAAATGAGGTAAATTCAAATGATTATGGTTTCTGAGGAGAGGGGAAAACCGGAGTACCCAGAGAAAAACCTCTCGGAGCAGAGTAGAGAACCAACTAATTCAATCCACTTATGACGCAGTGTCTGGGAATCATAACCAGAACACATTAGTGGAAGGCAAGCGCTCTCACCACTACGCCAACCCTGCTCCCTCTTTCTGTTGTCTAAAGGATATTAAATACCATTTTCAAGCATGTACGAATACTGTAACTAATAGCAAGGCATTATTGCAGTATTTCTCAACAGTTCTGATGGAAACCTCTTCCTCCTCTCCTCTTCCTTTTTCCTCATGATAACACTTTTATGGTCTTTGATCAAAATTGATATAATTAAAAATAGTTTATGCATGTCTATTCAGTTGTCATCAGTGGATAATTATTACTAATTTTAGCATAATGTGTAATATAACAATTACACTAAATGATTTTTGCAGAAGTGGATCGGGAATCAGAAAAGAAAAAGGCCACAAGTATCATCTTCTTTTGCAGATGTCACATTAAAAAGAATCAAAGGTGTCAAAGGACCAAACTCTTACAATTTATTTTGTGCTGAATTATTTAAAACAGGTACTTGTATTAGAAGGAAAATATATTTGATTTACACATACTCAGCCATTCCCGATATTGTCATTATTTTTCATTTCACTCTTTTTTTATCCATACTTACTACATGGTATAGGTGCAGTCAGTTGTGGCTTAATGTAAGTTATAAGTAGGAATTAGCATTAAATACAGCTGTAGGTATGGCCGTGGGTTCAAATACTTTTTCAAGCAGGGATATAGACGATATTGTTAACAGACGAGAATTGACAGTTCACAGACAGGTTTATAATAATCCATTATTACAGATTTTTTTAAAACCCTAGAAAGTTTTCCAGCCTGGAAAATCAAGTGCACAGCTGCCTATTTCCCCCTGGCTTCCAGCTATTATCTACATTCCTTGTCAAACCTGAGTTTTTGGTTTCATGTTTGTTTTTATGTACACTATACTCACATGTAAATCGATAGCAACACTGTAAGGATCACAAATTTCTCAAATTAATTCAAAGTTTACTGTTTAATGTAATGGTTATGAGTTCTTGTAAATGCACAATGTTTGTGCCCCTCCAGTTCCCAAGCTCGGGGCA